AGAGAGGATGGCTAAAACTAAACAAAACAAAATGACCGATGTCAATCAGCAGACTGACCAGCACCACTTTAACAGCTTGAACAAAGGCTGTTCAGCACAAGAATCAGTATTGGTGGAGACAGCAGGACAAAATGGAGTCCATGGTAACGATAGGATGTCTGCTGCAGATGATTTAAAGGGGAGTTCAAAATCCACAGCTAATGTCGCTTCACCACGGATTGAGCATGCAACGGTTTTGGATGAAGGAACAAAACCCATAATGCTTGTCACTCTTGAAGACAAAACTGTGGCAGAGACTTCTGTTCAGATTTGCCACAGTGACTCAGACACACAGCACTCCAATTCTTGCCTTGAGAAAAACTTGACCATCTGCATGTACAATTGGCCAAATATTTCTCAAAAACGGATTGAGGACGTGTACGCTTCCTGCATTGTTGGACCACATTATTTCTGGTGTCAGTACAACACTGAAGATCTAAACATGATATCAAAGCTTGCTCAGGAAACTGGGCAAATTCAAGATGCAGTTTTTCCTGAGGTACTGGTGCCTGGAAGTCCATGCCTTGCTCTCTTTTCCAGTGACAACCAGTGGTACAGAGCTCAAGTAATTCAAAAGACTAACAGTACTCTCGATGTTCTATTTATTGACTATGGAAATGAGTCTGAAGTTAGCATTAAAGATGTGAGGTCAATACCCCAGCATCTGCTGGAGATTCCTCCTCAGGCATTTCTTTGCTTTCTAGATGGCTTTGAGTGTGAAGGCTCCTGGGATGATGACGTGTATGATGACTTCTACAATCTTGTGGTTGATAAGCCGCTCAAATTGACAGTCATTAATAAGGAAAAGTATTCAGAGATGGCGGTTCCTCAATATGCAGTGAATATTGAATGTGTTAAGATGTTCATCAGTAGCTTAGTGCAGGAAAACAGGAAATCACTGTCAGGAGAAAATTCAGAGAACCAGACTGATCAAGCAGAAAGTTTCTCCCAAGGCATTCAAACTGAGAACAACACAACTCATTTTGATGCTCCCAAAGGAAATGACAATCTTTGCATGTACAAAGAGCCACAGCTTTCCCAAATCGATGCAGAGACTGTATATGCTTCTTGCATTGGGGATCCCTTTTACTTCTGGTGCCAGTATGCCAACACAGAAGGTCTCCGTGAAGTGTCACAGCTTGTTCAGGAAGCCGGAGAGGCACAGAAGGACACGATGCTCCATGAGACTCCTCATCCAGGGAGTCCATGCCTCGCTCTATATTCCAGTGACAACCAATGGTACAGAGCCCAAGTAATTGAGAAAGCGGACAGCACACTGCATGTTTTGTTCATTGACTGTGGAAGCGAGTCCGAGATTGACATCAGGAACATCAGATCATTATCCCAGCCTCTGCTGGAAAAGGCTCCTCAGGCCTTTTTGTGCTGCTTAAATGGATTTAAGGAGTCCGAGGGCTCCTGGAATGACTCAGTTTACGATGACTTTTACACTCTTTTGATTAATAAACCACTTAATCTCAGAGTAATCAGCATAGGAAACCACTCAGAGGTTGGTGTTCCTCAGTATCATGTTGAAATTGAGTGTGAAGGAGTGGCTGTGAACACACTAATGCAGAAATACTGGAATCCGGTTACAGAAGAGTGTGTTGATGCTGAAAGCCATCAAACAGAAAACCTCCCACAGGGTGGTCAGACTGAACCTGATGTGAAACAAATTTGCGTTGCAGAAGAAAATGTTTTTAAATGCATGTACAAAGAGCCGCGACTTTCCCCCAACGATACAGAGATGGTATATGCATCTTGTATTGTGGGACCACATTTCTTCTGGTGTCAATATGCCAACACAGAGGACCTCTGCAAAGTGTCGCAGCTTGCTCAGGAAGCAGGAGAGACACAGCAAAAACTGTTCCCCGAGACTCCTGGTCCAGGCAGTCCATGCCTCGCTCTGTATTCCGATGACAACCAATGGTACAGAGCCCAGGTTATTGAGAACGCTGAAACTTCACTGCATGTTGTGTTCATTGACTATGGAAATGAGTCTCAAGTTGACATCGGTGATATAAGATCACTGCCTCAGACTCTGTTGGAGAAGGCTCCTCAGGCCTTTTTGTGCTGCTTAAATGGATTTAAGGAGTCTGAGGAGTCTTGGGATGACACAGTTTATGATGACTTTTTCAACCTTGTGATTAATAAACCACTCAGACTGACAGTAATCAGCATCGGAGACCACTCGGACATCACTGTTCCTCAGTATCACGTTAAAATTGAGTGTGAGGGAGTGAATGTGAACAAACAAATGCACAAATACTGGAAAGGAGTGGCCAGAGATGGTGCCTTGGCAGAAAGTGTGGAATCAGGTTAGTAGACTGCTAGTTAGTGTTACTGAAATGACTGAAAGGTCCTTTGCTAGTTTAGTTTATCTTGACTTTTTTTTTTTTTCTTCAGGATACAAGGATGAAACCAGTGCCAAGGACGAGATTGACGAGGCTTAAAAGCTGTCAAGTGATACGGCAATCGGTACGTTTAATACATAAAGGTCTCTTTTTGATAAATGCTTCTTTTTTTTATGTATTATTAACAGCAACTCACAGATGAATTATCTATCAAAAGTAAATTTCCAGAAATGGAGAATTAATGACAGCACTAAAAAAAAATCTTTCTTTGTTTCTTCCAGCTCTGGGGAGCCAAAATGTGTCTGATACGTTGTTTCAATATGAAGTAACAATTTGTCTTATTACATTTTTTATTTTTATATTTGTCCCAATAAAGTGTTTACATAGATTAAAACTGGTTTGTTTATTTATTTTCATGGTTTCTAAACATTTGAACAGATAGTTTTGCAGACTGCAGTGGCTGGCAGATTTGCAGCTGCTTAGCATTTGTACTCTGATTAAAAGAACAGTAATGCAGACTTGGAATAAATCTCTACAACCAAATCATCAAGATGAATGTATAAATAAAAGGGATTTAGTCTTAGCTTTTATAGCTTTTAGATTTGTTTGGATTTATTGTTATAACAGGTTATAATATTCTTTACCAGGTCAAGTCTCTAGAAACGCGTACAGAGTCATATTTTTGTTTTTTGACAATCCTTAAAGATGGTTTGATTCCTAGAGCAGTTTTTACTTTTAATCCAAAATGACTTGCATTTGCTTATAATAAAGATTTGAGCATTAACAATTGGTGCTGTTTAATTTTTATTTTTTTTCTATGGATATTTATTTGGCATTTCATTTATGAAACAACGGTCACTTTAAGGCACTTTATGTCTTAGCGTAGAATCTCTGAGTGGAAAACTCAAACTATCAGTGCTGGCTCATGGGGTATTATCTAAGTAATTTTTGAGATTGGAAAAAAAAAACTCCTTACAGTTTAGAAACTTCTAATGGGAAGAAACGTTGAGCAGAACCAGGCTCAGGGAGGGGGAAGCCATCTGCTGCAACTGTCTGGGGCAGAAAGGAAAGAGAAAAAGGGCACACACAGAGAGATGAGACAAAAATCGACTGTGGCATGAAAATTAACATTAATGACATGCTGCAGTGGTGTATAAACACCTGGGGAAGAAATGCTCGGTGCATTTAGGAAGCCCCTCCACAAGCCCGAGCCTTTAATGGCGAGATGTTCAGGCTGAACCAGCCCTAACTATAAGCTTGATCAGAAAGGAAAGATTTAAGCGTAATCTTAAAAGTAGAGAGCATGTCTTCAAAGTCTTGAATCTAGATGAAGGGATCAGTGTTGGTCAAGTTACTTGAAAAAAGTAATCAGTAACTAATTACTGATTACTTCCCCCCAAAAGTATTCCCGTTACTTTACTGATTACTTATTTTCAAAAGTAATTAATTACTTAGTTACTTTTTAAAAACACGATTTACAACCTGAATAGGTAATAAAGCAATAGATCTTTCAGCCCACTTTTTCTGCATAATCCATCATACAAAAGGTAATAAAATGGAAAAGTCTTTTTTTTAAAACTTGTTTTATTAGTTTTAATCTTTTAACTTTATGCATCAAGCAAAAATTAAATTATATGCACCATTCTCTGACTGGAAGAAATTTGTTTAACATTTAAACCTATTTTCTGCACATTCCAGCACATAATTTATTTTTTATTTTTTTGTGTTTACACTCAGTCTTTCAAATAGATGCAAGTAAAACACAGCAGAAAATAAATAACATCAAAGACTAGCGGTCCTGTTGCTCTATTTTCACCTGTAAAGCAGAAGTGGCGTAGGCAGAGGTTTGCCCCGGTGCAGGTGAGCCGCAGCGGTCAGTGGAAGAATCCGTGAGTTTCCCATTACGTGGTAGCGCACTCCCGGTGCTTGCTTGGAAGTTTAGGTGGTTTTTTTCACTGTAAAAAGAAGTTTTACACTTGCAAGAAAATCAGGGTTTTAGTAATGCAGTAACGCAGCGTTCCTACGGGAAAGTAACGGTAATCTAATTACCGTTTTTGCAATAGTAATCCCTTACTTTACTCGTTACTTGAAAAAAGTAATCAGATTACAGTAACTCGTTACTGCCCATCTCTGGAAGGGATACATGTGTGGCAGGTTCAAAATTACTAAAGTCAAGAAAAAATGTACTGGGGTAATAAATGTGCTTCATGTAGGCCCATTAGATCTGGGAATTGTTTGTCAGCAGATGTGGAAAACCAGTATAGAGTCATGAATGTGAATAAAATAATGTTGTAACTAATAAAGCAATTAATTAAGAATCTGGCTATATCTGTGAAGCACAGGACACTTAAAATGTTAGCCTGATTTATTTCCACACTAAAAACAGACACAATGTGGATTGTGTTACCTTTTTTTTACTTGTTATAGCACATAAAATGAGTTTTCACTTCCTAAGACAGGCTAGCCTTACTTAAATCGCGTCCTTGCTGTTTTTGAATAATAATAATAATATATTTTTATTAATATATTATTATTATTGATAACGATCTAGACACGCCCTGGTTTCCTTTCCGCGTTTTTACCTTCAGGTTAGGAGCCATCTAGTGTTGATCCGTTGCTAGGATCCACTGTTGCTAGGTTAAAATGTCAGAGTTGCACCAAGCTGCAGCAGCAGGCGACTGTGATCAAGTTGAGGAGCTTCTGAGGGAAAATAAGTGCAATCCCAACCAGAAAGACATCGACTGGTACAGCAAGACACCTCTCCACTGGGCAGCGGCTAAAGGTAGTTCGTTAAATACGTGAAAATGAGGCGTATCCGTGTCCCCTGGTGACTGCGCAAGTCTTGGGCTCAAATTACCTGTTCGCATTCGGTGTAAAATGAAAATGAAAAATGTGATTAGACCACGTGTACGCTGTTTATGCAACATAAATGTTAGTGTCAGTACACTAAACTGCGCTTTATACCGTGCGTAAAAACGATTTAGGCACAAAGTCGGAATTCATGAATATTTGTTAGAGCTGCCTTTTCACTAAATATTTAATACAGTAGACAGCATTCATTAAAAATACTTTGGAAACAGTTTCTCCTTTAATAGCCATAAAGATGACGATTTTTCTGTAAAAGCTTGACAAAAAAAAGCCCTTTCCTCAATTCTATTGATTCAACATTGAAATCTGACATTACATCAAATTTTTAAACTACATTAATATTGAAACAATATCAGAGTCGGATAAAATACATTTTAAAGTTCAACATTGATGTTGAACATTTATTTTATATCAATTTTTCACGCTCTGATAAAAGTGAATCAGTGTTGAATTCTGATGTTGATTTTTCCATCACTTTTGCATGCTCCGTTAATAGTGAAGCAACAATGAAATAATCCTTTAAAAATCAACAGGACTAATACTAAACCACTGCAAATTACCATCAGCATTTAAACCTGTGCATAAGACAGTTGTGTATGATCTAAAAACAGGATAACCATTATCTGTTAAACATTATGTTACAATTTAACATGTCCATAATAATATCCCAATATTATTAAGCATTACGTTTTTGCATCTTTGCATCAATTAAGAACAGTTTATTATATAAAAACTTTTTTTTTTGTTCAGTGTATTATTTTGAATTCATTGATTCTAATTTACTCTGGAATGGGGCTGGATATTGGGTGTCCTGCACCACCCATCTGATCTGGAGCACATAGGAGCCATTCCTGCACTTGTTGGGCAAAGGCAAATTCAGAAACTGCATTTACCCTCAGCTGCTGAGTCAGGCCATCTGAGACAAAAAACAAAATGTGAGCCAACATGGGAGCTACAGGCCAACCTTGTAGTTTGCTAAGAATCAGAGTTTTGAGTTGCTGCGTCCAGACCAGTCTCTAAATATTCAACAATGTCTTTTTTGTGCTTGTATGTTAAAACTGTGATTACACACTATAGCCAATTTTTTTAGGTACACCTTTTCAACATCTCGTTTATTGTCATTTCTAATGAGCCAATCAGATTGCAGAAACGCAGTACTTTTAGGCATGTGCGGCACTGTACAAAAGCCTTGCACTACACCTCATTTCTTTATATTTTGCTTCCAAGGTGCCAGACTTGTTGGTAAATTTTTACCGAAACTACTACCTTGACCTCAACAATAGTTTTCCAGTCTTTCAACATTATTTGGACATGCTTGGCCTGCTTTTTTACTCATTTTCAGTCCGGTCCTTGTACCTGACCATTTTTAGAGGAATCAAGGAAAAAACGTGACTGGACTTTTCTTGAAGATGTTTCGCCTCTCATCCGAGAAGCTTGTTCAGTTCTAAGATTAGATGGTGGAGAGTCCCAAGTGCGAGTTGTCCCTTAAGAGGGTCATTGACCCACTATTGATGAAAGGTGGCTTTTTCACACACACGCAATAGACAAAGACAACATCTCCCAAGATTTCAAACATCGAGAGGTCTCTTTTCAGGTTTTCTGGCTATTTAGGGCGAGGCAAGGTCTCACAATGGTTTCACCCAAAACCTCTGCTATGGCCCACACCCTTTTTCACACCTTGAAAAAGGGTGTGGGGCATTATTAGCAAAGGTTTTGGGTGAAGCCATTGTGAGACTCTCCACACTGCTGGAGTAAATATACTTCGTTACTGTACTTAAATAGAATTTTCCGTTCTCTGCACTTTACTTGAGTATTTATGACTACCTTTTTACTTTTTCTCCCTACATTTTTAAAGAAAATCTGTACTTCATCAGCACTACAGGAGAGGAGACGCATGAAAAGAGTGGCTTTTTGTGTGTCAGGCATGCTCCTAGCTAAAGGTCCAGCTGCTGTTTTTTACAGGGAGAGAAATGAGAGCCAAAACCTTAAGGAGGGTCCCTGAAAACGTTTATAAAACACTCTGCACAATAATTTTCCCAATAGCCCTAATTCATCAAATTAAGTATTCTTAACTTGCTCACAAACTAATTATATCTTTCCATAGGACACACAGAAATGGTGAGGATACTTATAAAGCATGGAGCCAGACCATGCCTGAGGACAGAGTATGGGTGGACCCCTGCCCATTTTGCTGCAGAGTCTGGTCGGCTGGCAGTGCTGCGGTTGCTGCACTCACTCCATGCACCTATTGATAAGGAGGACTGCTGTGGAGACAAGCCAGCGCGTATAGCCGAGATATACGGACACCAAGACTGTGTTAGATTCCTTAAAAAGTATGACATGAAGCCCGGTTCTCAAATTCTTGTAATTTTAATAACAATAAACTATATATAATATAATGCTTGTACATGATTAATATATGGTCTTGTTTTGTGTGTTACAGAGCAGAGATAGAGGGCGAGGTTTATCGCAAGCTATCAGCGCGAGAAGGGCTTTCAGTGGATGACACAGATGAGGAGTGGGCAGAACGGGACAAACAAAACTTAAAAACTGAAACAAGATGTGAGCCCAAATCCCATTTACAGAAATAAAATCCTCACGCAGGTTTTCTTCTATCCTTTCAGCTGAGAGTTTTCCTTCAGCTCTTCACTGCTAAGTGCTATTTAAAACATGCAATGTACAGTATTATTAAAGCACATTTCATATGAATATGTATATTGAACAAAGAAAGACAGATAAGTGTAATAATTATTAAAACTTCTGATTTGTATTACTGCAAGTAAAACAAAATAAACAACAAAGAAACAGTCACATCAAAGAGTAAATGTAGCTCATGAATCAAATATATTGGATTTAAATGTAGTGTTTTGTGAGTATACATGTGTGCAGGTGTTGTTTAGGAATTTTTAGTTGTTGTTTCCAAATTTGTGGAGCTTTCGCTGATGGTTGGTGGAGCCTGCAGAACAGAGGAAACAGATGTGCGTCATTCATTATGAGTTACCACGGTTATTTACGAACAAGCTGTGGTTCACTTACTTTTTTCCTGAAAGAATTCAGCAGTGCTTCACGGGTCTGTGAAAATCAGAATAAAAACATTTGATGAAAAGATTTCCAAGGATATTTTTGATGACTGTTGATAATAATTTCATTAAAATAATTGAAATGACACAGAATTAACCTGAGAACAACTACAACAATAATGACATTGATTCAGCTGTGGATTTTACATCATCCACTCCTGCCATTGGCTTCAAACTTTAAATATATTCAAATGTTATCACAGTGATACAGCAGCATCTAACTAAAACTAGGTAGGCCTCTTATCTCTAGAAGTAAATGACTTTACCATTCTGTCCCCCAGGCACGTGGTCAACAAAATAAACAAACCCTAGAAATGAAAAACAAGCATTTTTAAAAAAAAGTAATACTTTTAGCAGAACAGATATTGAGTCTGATCAGTTTAATAATTGTGACCATACCTGGAATGCATTGAGCACAACAAAAGCGTAGTTCACAGCTAAAGTCACAGCTCCAGCTGTGAGGTCCATAATAAATGTTGCAAATCCAAAAATCCATGGCAAACCAAAGATTGGAGTCAGAAGAATAACTGATCTCAGGACAGTTTTGGCGGCCTGTATTTCTTTCTCATGAGACTTTTCTCTGCTCCTATGTTCCAGAAGCTTCATGATTACCACTATCATGGCAAACAAGTTGATGAAAACAATTATACCAACTGGGAGAATGAATGTATAGATGGTTCCTTTCAGAAGTCCAGAATAAACCAGCCAACATGTTTCCAAACAGAAATACGCGTCTTGAGCGCCGCCGTTGTTGGTGAGAAATGTGATGAAAACAATGAGAAAAGGACAAACGTAGCCCAGGACCAACGAGAACCTCAGATAGGTTTTCTTGCCCACTTTGTGAAACAGGAAAACTGCCTGATGAAGGAGCATGGTGCTCAGGCTCAACATCCAAAAGAACATGGCCAGGTAGCAGAAATGCTTCAGAAGAGCTGCAATTCTACACCAGATTTCTGAAATGATCTCTGGTTGAGAAGATGCCAGAAAACAGCAATCTGCCACCAGCAAACAAAGAGAAATGTTCACGTGGGCGGTGTGGCGCAAATGTAGAGTATTTGTCTTGACTACTTTGCTCCAGACGATCAGTTCTATCAGGAGGCTGATAACGAGTGACACCACTGATGCAGAAAGTCCAGCGTACGTTATCTCGGTCATGTAAGGGATTTCAATGGGATACCGAGACATCAGAATGGCAAATGAAGTCAGATGATTGCAAATGCACTCGTCAGGTTTAGAATCGCCCCCCCATACACATCCTTCATCTGTCCAATTGCTCTGGTTGTAGTTCCATGAGACACATTGCAATTTAACATGGCGACGCCTTGGTGTGAGCAATGGGAACTTTAGTGTAATCTCAAGGTTTTCTTTTCCCCGTTGAGTGGTTGTTGACACAACAATGCTGTTGATGTTAAATGCTTCTGTTGTATTGGGCAAATAGTCCTGCAGGTATTTGAATCCAGCTGTTTTTACGATGCCATTTCCTGAGTTTTTAACAGTGACTGTGGCATTGAACACCGTATTGGTGCATTCATCTTCGCTGCATGTCTGTACATGCAAGTTAGTTAGATTTGAATCATTACTTATGTTTGATATCGCAATTAAATTCTCAACTGACTGCAGATATTTCTCAGCCAGGCTCTTGTTACTTTCAGGATCCGGTTTATTCCACGAGTTTCCAAGAGACCCATCCAGCAGATTACTAGATGAGGCCAGGAAATTCTGAAAAGAAAGACAAAGGTTTGCAGCTCATATAGCTGTGATGTTCCCATTAAAGATTAATCATAAAAAATGAGTTAGTTGTCACTCGTCAGCAGCTGTTTTATGGTATATGGTTTAAATGAGCAATGAACTTGGTGTAAAAGTTAAATAGTGAGACTGTACTACTAATGTATGTAAATAGCAATAAATACATTGACCAATACTGGAGATTTGTTTCATTGTAACTCTTAAGGATTGTAACTTTAAATACAAGTATTTATGCTTATCGATCTTAATGTTTTAAATGTTTTTAAATACTAATAAGAAAGATATTCTTTGGTGCTTACGTTACTTGTGGTTGTGTCATTTACACCATGGTCTGTCAGAATGATAGACATGGTGCTGATCACTTGAACTGATGCATTCAAATTGGGAAACGTGTTAATAGTCTGTGGATTTTGAGTGGCATTGGTAAGACTAAAAAATATTGACTCTGCGTTTTTTTCTAATGCCCCAAGTCCAGTGCCAGAAATCTGTAACAAGAGCACATATGCATTAGTCAAGCTTAACTGTGTCAGATGTAACTGTGTCAGCGACTTTAACAAAAACACTAGAGTACTTTCCATTTTCCTGTCCTGTAAAAATAGCAAAACAGTTGGATAATTTGTTGCTTTATATTAATACGATTACTTTCCTTTCATGTGTAAAAAACAAAATAAAAAAATAAAAAGTGATAAGTTATAAAATTTAGGCTTACCGCTGCATTTTGCAGTATATTGTCGAGGTCGAAGTTCACACATTTTGATTCTTCCTTTCTCCATATCCCCTCCAAGCTGAAAATATTAATTAAAAAAATTTAATGTTACACATAAATTCTAATATATATACTGCTTAAATAATTTCCTTAATCAAAATGCAAACAATTATAGTTTTTGGACAGTAAAAGAAACAGAACTTTTAATCCAAATAAATAAATAAAAATAAATTATTATTATTATTTACATTATTACATACTACACATGATTGGTTATATTCTTACTCGCATTTCCTTGTTCTTTGCCCAGCAGAGTTTTTGCATTTTAAAACTGCAGTAAAAGTAGCTTTTGTGTCTTCCCAGTCACCTTCAGCTGGACAGTACTTATCATTTACTGTTTTAGGGAAGAAAATTTCATATAGTTACAAAGACAATATTCTAAAACTGTTAAAACTGAATTTGTCACAAAAAAAATTTCCTGTAAAGCATACAAATATATAAATATTTGATCCTTCAATGAAGTAATAAGTATTTCCAGAATTTAGTCATGACTGCACAATCCTTGCCAGATTTTACCCAAATGTATTTTACAATGTAGTATAATTCAGTATGTCACAATTACTATATTATTATACACTAATATCGTGCACCCTCTTTCAATTGCAAGGTTTTATATATCCATCCATTCGCTTCCGCTTATCCTTTTCAGGGTCGCGGGGGGTGCTGGAGCCTATCCCAGCTGTCATAGGGCGAGAGGCGGGGTACACCCTGGACAGGTCGCAGGGCCAATATATACATCCTTTATATATCAGGATGTAATTTAAAAAACTTGTCTGGACTATAGAAAGTTCTGAAATTATATAATTGCAACCTCAGATAAACAAATGGCCTCACATGCAACTCTAGAAACTAATACAGTACAGATTAGTTCATGGTTGACTCAGTGACTGAAAGGTGCCCGGGTCCTGTTCCATCACAGGACCTGGACATCAACCCTTCACTGTGCTGACAGTTGGCATGAGCTGTTTGTGATGATATGTTGTGTTTGTTTTTTGCCAGAACTTCTCCCCTCTGGTCTTGACCTTTCAAAGGACATTGTTCCTGAAGTCTTGTAGTTTGTTCAGTTGCAGTTTTTCAAACCTAAGCTGTGCTGCCATGTTCATTTTTTAGAGACGAAGATCACTCCTGACAGCCTTTACAAAACAAGCCATACTTATTCTTCTTTTTCCAATTGTATTCTGATTAACTTCAACATTTAACATGCTAACTGAGGCTCATAGAGTCTAAGATTGACTTTGCAAGAATGTGCCCTCCTGGGAAGATTGACAGCTGTTTTTAATATTTCTGACTTCGAATATTTTGCAATGATAGACTTCAAATTGTTTGTAAATGGCCTTATAACCCAGCCCAAGATGGGGAGTAACAGTTGTTGATGTCTTTTTGCTTTTTTTTTTTTGCATTAACACATTACTGAATTCTCCAGACCAGCAAAGTGACAAAACATCTGCTTTTATTGAGGCGCTCACACTTACTGACAGCCTGTTAATCTATACAAAATACAAATATAAACAAAACCCATAATAACATATGTGTGTCTTAGAGATACATATGTGACTTCTTTTTAAACTTGTATATCTTTTATTTTTCTTGAAATGAATTAGGAATCGTTTTGGGGCATTTAAAATGATTCATTTGACTGTTGTCTTTAAGGTAAGTAATCATTTAAAAATGTTTCAGGCAGTTTATGTTAAAATATCAGAACCTGTTGTTGTGAACTGGCACAAATGAATGAAATCAGATTCATTTGTTTGTTGAAAGTTTTATAGTTACTTAGTTCTTTTTTTTTACTTCATTGTGGGATCATTTGTGGGTAATTATGCCTTCAATAATTCCCATTGCAAAATACAAAGACATACCGGAAATGATATTGAAGCGCACTGTAGCCTGTCTTACATTCCCAAGTCTGTTGGTAAATGTACACACTCTTGTATCTACACTTGTTCTATGAGCACAGATGATTATTTTACTAGTTGTATAAACTAGTATGTTGCCGCCTGCAAGAATTGAATATTCATGTCATTTATTTTCAGAACAATTTTGCATAATAAATATTTTAATTGAAATTAAATGAGACCAAATAAATTACTTACTCTGAGTTTCTAATTGGCCTTTGAGACCTCCATCCCATGTGACATTATAAGGTTCAGTACTATTGCTTATCTCACATTTGGCTTTTGCTTGGAGAATATCATTTTCGGTTTTACAGCGTGGAAATGATGGCTCCGTGAAGACGTCAATGTTCGGTAATAGTGCTACATCCAGTTGAGCACTGGCTTTGTGTAACATGTTGACTGTACAGCCTGATGTGATGCAATTACCCGTTTGGTGATAGATACATGAGAACTGTCCTAAGAAGCAAACACAAGTGGGGTTAAAGCCAGCAGATTTTGTGATTTAGGTTGATGTTCAATTCTGGATTCTTTTCATTCTGTTTGTTTCTGGTCCATAGAGGGGTGGTTGGAGGGGGGGGGGGGGCTTTCACATGTGTGTTAAAAGTACATTTCTTCTGTTTTGCCATCATTGTATCATCTTTAATTATTAACAGTACCAATAATAATATAATGGAACATTCATACATACCATTCCAGAGTTCTGTGACGTTACGGAGGTTGACTGTACTGTTAGTTCGTGATGATGTATAAACTGTTGAAACTGTTCCAGTAGTTATGTCATATTGCCCTTTGCTATTTATTATACTCCATTGTGGGTAAATTTTCAGGTCCTCTTTGGTTGTGCATCTGATCACTTGGTTGGTGGCATCATAAGGCACAGGCATTGGTGGCATCTTTAAGTTGACAAGACCTGTGGAGGAAAAAATAATAATAATGAAATTTCAGTCCCTGAAACTTAAAAACCTATCCAGTGCTGTGAACACCACAGATTGAAGGTACTGTTTTGGAGCAACAGAATAAATCTTAAAATTATTATAAACTAAAACTAGATGCATAAAGATCTGTGACTTTCATTTTATCTTCATCAGAGTAATGATTGCATCCATAACAAATCTGATTTCACTTTGGGTTTTGTTTTTTTGTTTTTTGGTGGACAGAAAATGATGATCATGGAGAACTAAGGAGAGAACAGAATTTACAGAATTTTTAAACTCACATGTTGGAAAGAATTTCTTGCATACAGTATACAATGCACCCCTCTGCAGCAAGATTACATTACCTGAAGTCTCCATATCAAGCGAGGTGGACAGACTTTGGCCAATCTTTACTGAATTACTTATCAGAGCTTGTGAATCGATGCTGGAGGCGATGATTATTTTAAAGTCTGCAATGATGCCACCAATCCTTCAAACAAACAAGAAAAAGAGTGATTTTACATTTTTATTAGATAAATGTAAAAACAGAATATTTTATTTGTAATTGCACGAATATACCTGAATCTTGTAATGTTTAAAAAGTCAAATCCCCACAGAGTGCTGTACACTGTTTTCATCTAAGAGGTAACAAAGGATGGAAATAAAGTGAATAACAGTAATTTCTATTTTCAAGGTTAAAAATTATGCTGTATACATTTAAATGCATTTTGAGAAAAACATTATTACCTTTGTCAACAACCCATCACTGCAATTTGCATATTTAGGGTTTGTTATATCTTCCAAACAATCTGTATATGTAGACCCCTGCAGTCTAAGAGACCCTGTGATGGTAACTGTGAGCAAGAAAATGTCATTTTGGGGGATGCTTTTAACCTTGATGCTCACAAATAACCAGAT